TGCACTATCAACTTAATGGAAACGTGATGGTTTTAGAGAGTTAAGAATCGGAATATCACATGATTGTTATTTTGTATGTGTGTATAAGAGGATCAACTTAGAACAACCAATTATTGTACACAAATTCAGAAGCCCTTTGTGGGAGGAGGACGGGGTAACACCATTTGGATCCACAAAGCTGCAAAACTGTCAGGGTCTTAAAGCCATGCCATTTGTAGGGAATGTTGGTGTCTTCTTCGATAAATCTCTGACTTAAGAAAAAACCCAATTGACATTAGTCACTGAATTATGTCACTTCCAAGTCAGGAATTTTAGTTGCTTTGGTCAGTTATTGAGCACAGACGCCAGCAGAACACTGTTCAAGCCATCAGTGACATGAAGACTGGTTGTTTGCATAATCGCTGGTACTGCGTTCCAGGGAGTGGAAAATTCCTCTTCCCTCTTATTTCACCCACACCTAAAAAGAGAACATACAAACATCGTTCTGAATTCCCTGCAATGGGTTCTTGTTGAAATATAAGATGCCGTTCTTAAAAATTCTCAACTGTCAAGGAACTAAGCGAACATTTAAGAATAGACAAGTTGATATAAACAGGAAACCATCTCTTATCGTTGTTGTAAAAAAACATATTTTGACAAATATGGAAGTTGATTGACTTAACACAATTGATTTCCGTAGCCAAACATCCCCGTTGTTATAGTGCTGCATGCTTTACGGAAAAGAACGAAGTAACCACCGAACCTACATATACATAAACAAAAAAGGTGATATCGACAGTGCAGTCAAAGAAATTTGTCAAATTCTACAGGCAATCCGCTCATTCCTCAAGACAGAAACATGGACAATTACGTATCACAACATACAACAAAGACACAAAGAGTGAAAAACACTACAACATGAAATACATAACCGAAAACCAGCTATCTCGTCTGTAATGTGCTTCTGTTATCGAATATGCCTTGTTGTATGTTGTGATATGTATTTTTCATGTTCATGTCTCGAGGAAGAGGCGGATTGCCAATTCTGCAATGTAGATATCACTTATTTGCCTTTATATCTTTTTAAGCAATACGCATTAAGCGAACATTTGTTTGTTATGATCAAGTGCCCATATTGGGTCATACGGTCGTTACTACTAGGAGACCTGTACATATATCAATATAGATATAAATTCATTTTGATGTGTACATTTTCTTTTGTTTAAATGTTCCTTAATACATATAGTTATCTACATGTCTTCTGGTTCAAGTTTTCAGGCATGAGAATATATATTCTCTTGAATATAATAGAGATCTAACACCTAACAAGAGAATATATATAAAACATATTCTCTTGCGTACAAATTCAAACCAGAAGCTTTTGATATTCAAGCTTGTTCGTTTTGGTCAGTTTCTATACTTAAACTGATTTATTATACTGACACAAAGTAGACAAACTTTCTTTTTTTAAAAGATCAGTATTTCAAGCCGCATGTTCTGAAAACCTATCGAAAACTTTACACGTTTGGCCATCGTCTAAGTCATTTCTCGATCGATGAAATAGTGAAGTCGAAAACTAGCACCACCCACCTATCACCTGATTGGTTCCGTCATTTCAATATGGTAGCTATGGTAACTGCAGAGAGATACAGCTTATAGACAACTTACTTCCTCCAGAGCGAAGCCAGGCGGACGACCATAGAAATTAATATTTGTGATAAAAACAGCACACTTTTATATCTTGGTCATTGCATGGCTTATAAATTCCGCGGCTGAAGATTTGATTCTAACGGTTTCTTAACAGGTTTGTTTTAAAGATATGTTATTGCAGATTGCAGGTATAATTTGATATTACCATAGCATATGTTGTTATGATTATTTTCCTAGTATCAAATTCATATATAAAGGAGAAATAAGTGCTTTGATAAAAATGAAACTGCATCAAAACGTTGTGATGGTATTATCACATTAAAAGGAATGATTTTGCATTATAAATATGGTAAACAAAAAAAGCCCAGGACCTGATGGTTTAACAAGAGAATTTTACAAATTGTTTTGGAAAGATATTGTAAGTCAATCAATCATGCATATGAAATTGGTCATTCATCAAATTTTCAAACTCAAGGAACCACTACATGTTCCCAGATTGCTGTTGGTTTGCAGGTGAATAGCAGCAGTCCTGGTCGTAAGGTTAATGAGTTGGCCAGAGGTTAAATATTGGGCGCAAGGAAAGTTATCCAGAAAAGGGACTTTCTTTATAATTAGCTTTTCAGAGCTAGTTCACAATGTAGCTGTGTAGAAAAAGGAAAAACAGTTCGATGAAGACCTATTCTATTCAGGACAGAGGACAAAACTTGGGTCTTCATTTAAAAAAGGACAAGGATTTTTCTTTTGTAAAAGACCTTGTTTTTAACAACTGTGCTACATTGACTATAAAGTCATAAATAAGAACGAACCGATTTACCGAATCATCTCTATTCTAGTGAAATAGATACAGCAAGTTGTTAGCCAAAACAGCAAAACAGATTGCAACGAGTGTGCACAGCAGATTTCCAGATGGAAATTTAAGTTCATAAAACAACTGTAAACTTATGAAAGTTAACAGCAATTTAAATGTAAAGAACCGCATTGATTTCCCCGACATCAAACATGCCCGCAGCAGCTGATTGGTCAAGATTAAGGTACTGTTTGGTTTTCAACTTTAATACTTAACCGTATGACAACACTGCAAACACAACCGTGAATTTCTTTGTGGGTCGGTCTAGATTGCCGCCTTAACTGACTTCTGATTGGTCTACATTTAAATGTTGTCTAATAGTTTGCTCACATTTTGTATGTAGTATCACATGTATTGCTACCGTGTATGCTAATTCATCGTTCTTGACTTTGGGGCAGTTTGGGAGACTTACGTAAAGGTCTCTGTTACAATTACAACTTGTTGTTAATAAAATTAATAGGACACTGGAGTCAACCTCGACCAGAAACATTCAGCAAACTTACAGTAAAAGTATTGGAAAGTTCCAGGATTTTCCGAAAACACAAAGATTTACTCCTATGAATGTCACCGCCATTATTATACATGTTTAAACGCATTGACTGTTTGGTAACTAAGGGATTACACTTACATTTACACTGCAAGTTCATCACCATAGGGAAATGCGTTCATAGAGCTATGATCACAATTAGATCAGCGCCATTTTGAAGTTTCTTATTCCGCCTCGATTAATATGAGACAAACGTAAGAAGCAATCATTTTAATGACGTTCGGCTGTTCCGGGAATCTCGTTTGTAACGACAACACAGACATTTCAATATCTAAAATATTAGAAATTTCTTTGTTTAGGTCAATGATAACTAACAAGTATAAGGACTGAGCGGCATTTATCCAACGTTCATGCCGGTATGAACACAAACCGGTTACATACGTATTTAACATGAAGCTGTGGATTATGTATGTAACCGATTTGCGTTCACAACAGCATGAAATTGAAAAGAAAAAGTTCAATCCTTATATTTTTCTCTACATGTAATTCTTACATAACACGGTTTACTAGTTTCCTAAATAAATGTTCGATTAAGTTATAGCACCAATATGAATTTTATATTTTCTACTTAAATCAGATCGTATGTGAGACGGTTAAAATTACTTATAATGAAACCAAAACAAAGCATGTCCCCAATTTTGTAATTAACCTTGTTGGGTGTTTAAAAGTCCATTTTCCGTCAATGTTGGGGTCAGCCAATAATTCGCTATCGATTTTCATCACTATTCTGATTTCAAATTTTGACGAGCTTTTACTATTATGCACTTACTCATAACACCACTATTCAACTCAAACATAAATATCTATGTCAAATATGTAGGGGCTTAATTTTTGTTTGTTTAAACAAAGTTTTCTAAATAGGTTTTAATGCTAAGCTCGAATACCAAATTTTGATTATGTATTTATTGTACATAATTTTGAATACATCTATATTTACATATACCACCAAAAGAGAGGACTTATATTGGCTTAGAATCTGTTGTCCAGTCCTTTTGACTCTGTACAATCTGTTATCGATGATGTTTGGACACGATAAGGTTTTCATTATTTTGTAAACATAATAATAAAAGCAGAGTTCACGGTAAAATCAAAAGTCAATCCATCGGTCGCACCTGTTAAACGCATGTCAGATCTGACGGTAAACATACCCTCCGCTCACAGGGGTTCGTTTGTAATCATTATATAAAACTAACTATGGCGAATGCATTTAAAGTAGGAAAGACGTTTTATGTTATTATGATTTCAATCAGAAAAAAATACATTCCGGGTAACCATGAATTAGGAAAAATAAACCACCCCTTATTCTGAATGCACATAAACATATATTGTTCTTTCATATTTCGAAAAGAACTAATGTGCTCGAAATTTCATATCAAAGCCTGATATATTGCAATGCTTGTGTTCATATTGCATACGCAAACATTTGTCACGTGACATCTCGATTTCGTTTTTAGGAGTGAGTTGACTTCACAACTAATGTCAATTCCTTGCCACTACGCCCGATGTTCATTTTGACGTTGATATACGTGGAAACGTTTAGATATCTACATACAGATGTCGCAGGGGTGATGTCGCTACATCGTCAACGTAGAGTAGTTTCATGCTTCTCTAAATTCGCTCAGGCTATACGGAAAATTGGCTTTTTTATTAATTCTCGTCAAAGAGTGGAAGAAAGCCTTCATGGTTTTCGATCAATGAAAAGTCTCGCTAAATCGCCAACTTGGAAGTGTTTAGTTTAAACAATTCATCATTCTACGAACTTGATAACCCTTCCATGGAGGTGTGACATCTGTTTTAGCAATAACAAAACGTATTCATAATCTAATACAAAATATAACAAATTAAACCAATACAAACAGGTGGACACGAAACAACGGGTCCGAACTCATTCGGCATATTTTACATTTAAAATGGTAATACATGCGTAGATTACCTATACAACTGCAGTTAACGCGAGATGGAAGTTTTTTTTTCAAGATGGCGTCTCGGCAGGACACGGGAAGGTAAGCCCAATATCAAATCGCAATGTAAATAATTTATATACTCACTTTGGCCATGTGACCTATTGTGTTTAATTCGTAAATAATGATAGAATTGTTGTGCATATCTATTTGGACTATATAGTTTGGACTTAAAATGAAAGGATATTTATCAAAACACCGATATGCTCGTTCAAAGCGGGATATCAACTTAGAAAAAAGTATGGCCATGCGAATGTTCGGTCCTTCGCAAAGACGTAGCAAACTGCATCATGACACGACAATGAATACTGAATGGAATAAATGTAGGGAGATGAAACAAATTACGATATACATGTGAATAACTGATGTATATCCTGCTCCCTCAGGACATCGTATACCGTCAAATAGCGCAGTGAAATGGATAAACTGCGTTAAGGTTATTACGATTTCGACACGCCTAACAGCGCGACATATATTATGCAGTTGTTATGACATCAACAATATCTGGATGAAGGTTATCACGTGTTTCCGGTTGCTTGAACCGTGGCAATACCTCTGTATGAACGCAATTACATGTGATTAGCAGGAAGGCGATTCTATGTAAGGAACAGTGGCAATACATTCTGATGCTGGTAAGTAATTATAAATAAAACTGATCACCGAGGTGGTACTTAAGAATTGAATTAATGTTTTCAAACATCTATGACTATATGAAATATGTTTTTCGTTCAAACAGTTTCTATAATGCGCGGTAACGCATCTTTGCAAAACAAACTTAAATAGAAATAGAATGCATGCATTCATTTATATGAGTTTATTTCAAAAAAGCATAAGAGAACATAAGTGGTTTCTTTTGGTTCACGATACGTTATAATTAAACTGTTTTTTCATAAAACGGAACAAACGGACATTTATGCGGAAGCAGTTATTCTGTCATGATACAAACGTCAATCGGAATCTATTTTTTATTCATAATTTGAATATGACGTTCCGCGGTGATTGGTCCTCGATTCCTTAGAAAAGTATGACGGAATGACCCGAACAGTTTCTGATTGATAAATAGTCACGTACATGTATAAGAGTTATTGTGGGTATTAATTTAAAAATGTTTAGTGTCTCCATTTTTCCGAGGTCTATACATATGTGAATAAATTGAGATGAACAGTATATTGTGTAAATAGCTGTAAGGTCCGAGGACATGGTCTTATCAAACATTGGTATTTAACCATGGCAACACAATAGGATAGAGTTAATGATGTGTAACTACAATGTAGTACTAATCAGCGTACTGATACACTCTACAAAGTCTAAATAGAGGTAATCATGTCTGACAGTGGTGACGCCTCAAGAAATACACCATCTTATACAATAACTTTTATGTTTGTAAACATGACCTTATATGGGCTGTTTTGCGCGTTAGGTCAGCAATAATTATGATGTCATAACGATTGTGATGTCATTATTATAAGAGAAGTATTATGAGAAGTTCTTTTTATTCAACCAAGACAATTTTCTATGTGACGTTTCGATGACTAGTACGATATGTACACTGTCACCTTCATCAGACAAATGACCAATGAAGCGTATGCACACAAAGGTGTAAAATGTGTACGAGTTGTCCACAAAATCGATGTCGATTTCGGCTACGCTTTTCAGTGAGATAGCACTATAAAGTCGGATGTACCGAAATAACTCAATTCAGCTACGCTTTGTTAAAACTTGGTCACAATTTTGGCAAACAAACGTTAGTTTTAGATATATAATAGAAGTATTAAACCATAGATTTCAACTTCGGCTATAATTCTAAACAGAATGCAGTTTACTTGGTAATTAAACCGTCTGATATGCGTTTGAGTCGTGTACGAGTTATATTGATATATACTGTTGAATATGTTCTCTTGGTGGCATTTAGCAGTCTTTGTAAGTATTTGAGCCCGACATGCGTGACGTTCAGTTTTACAAGGTGAACTTCGATTAGTGATTAAATATCAACCGAATCTGGCTAAGTGTCACCGACATTGCTATGGAAACCAATATAACAATAAACGTTAAGAAATGTCTCCTCTTACGCATAATGTCGTCACGATTTACGTATCATCTATAAACACTTAAACTATAAACACGAAATCCAACAGCGCATGAACCGATATACCTTTGTAGTCATATACGGTCTGATGGTATCTAAAATTGGGAACGAAATTAAAACGTTTGTAACGTGTTTTTTCTTTAATCAGAGTGTTGCCTTGAAAAGCGAGAAGTTTGCCGAAGATCAATGTACATATGTTCAGTTGAATATCAGCTTTGTATCCCCAAACTGAAAGAGGATTCCAGACGAGTTGGTAGTGACTGCAACTTTCTTTGACGAACACATGGTGGATTGACATTTCGTTAAAACGGGTTTGTATCATTCAATCATATCGACACGAGCGAGTTTAAAATTGTGTAGATGTCGTAAACACGATCTATTCATAAAATATACGTCATAACTCGCAGGCACATTACGTTATTAAAGACTCAAGTTTAATTCATTTCACGTACTTTTTAAAGTGTTCACGTTAATCTTGGATAGTATTTCTGTTCTCACTCATTAAAGTGAGCTATGGGTATCACAGCGACAAGTGTAGCTTTTACAATTCTCGGATTAGCACTGACCTTCCCAACACAGACGAATTCCACAAATGACTTTCTCCACTATAACAACAGTGGGCCTTTACCGGATATCGCAGTGTTATATGAAGACTATTGCCCGGGCAATAGTCTGTGTACAACAAGCCAATCGAGAACTCCCGCAAATGGTCAAGGGTGTTGTAACAGCTGCAGCTGTTCTTTGCGATGCTTTCAAGAAGGAAACTGTTGTCCAGATGTGCTCAAATACGCAAACGAAACTGTGTACGAGACTTGTGTTCGGCCACAGTATCTGGATTACGGGGTGACAAACTCCAGTGCAAGATTGTCTTTCTATATGATACATAGATGCATGTCGGAGTTCAAGGACACAGGAATCGCCAAAAAGTGTGAAATCATTCCGAGAAATCCCAGAAATCTAGAGGACTTCCTTTACACGCTCCCTGTATCAAAAGTTAACTCGACCATAGTGTACCGGAACATGTATTGTGGTCTGTGTAATGGAGAAGCCGAAGAGGACTTAGTGCAGTGGACTATTGAGTTGACGTGTAATTCGAGACGTGACATGCAGATGGCTTCCTTTGATGAGCTACTGTTTGTCTTAAATCGAGACAACATATGTAACCTTGTTTATTTTACTCCATTGGGAATTAACTTCTTTCCCCGACGGTGTAATTGGGGACGAATAACGCAGTGTAATCAGACGGGAAATATGGACAGTTATAATGACACGCTTGATGACATGTGTGGGGCGTTTACATCGATATATGCACGGTCATATCGAAACGTGTTCTGTTACCTGTGTAATGTACCCGGAAATGTCGAATGTTTAAATACAGTGACTACTGGCGCATTTGACATGATTTCGTTCACTGCCATTTTGGATTTCAATGTCATGAGTTATACAGCTCCTCGTCCACCGGAAGTACAAACAAAGACGTGCACACCGAGTCAGCAGTACGACAGTTATAAGGTACGTAGTTGATTTATGCAAATAAATATATAAACAAAAATCCGTGTCGAAACTAGTCCTTAGGTATGTGATTGACATGCTGTATGTGCAACAGGTTCACCCGTTGACAGTATAATGTGACCGGGCGGAATGATGTGCTTGATAGTATGTTATTTCAGTGAGATAGCACTATAAAGTCGGCATCAGATCCGCGTTATCACAAGGAGGCAAGCACACAAACATACCCCGTCTCCTGCATACACACATGCAGCACGCATGCACAACACACATTGAGGCACGTTCCTAAATTACCTTAGCTGTTAATTGGACGTTTAACAAAATTAAACCTAAACCAAGCCAGACATGCTGTATGTACCACTGGGACCTGAGAATCGGTTACATTTCGTATGGTTTAACCTATCCTGATCAATGATAAACGAGTTCAAGGTTTATATAAGCACTCGTAACTGTGTGCCCCCATCCCACCCCCAGTGATGGTTGTACATGGGACGGGGCTATGTTAGGGTAGGCCTTTTACGAAGTTTTAATTTAAATGACTTATATTTCATTCTCTACACATCACGATAGTTCATAATAAACAAACTGTAACAAATTTTCAGATTCCTGCGGTACGTTCATGTAGTGATAGATATTATCTACATGTTAACAACTGGCATGGCCTATTCTTAAGCCGGATTATTTGAGGTTGGTGGAAATGTGTCGATTAAAATTAAAGTTTATTATCATAATTACGAGTTCTGAAAACGAGGAGATCACACTGTGACCATTCAACCACTAACAACACGCTTCTGCTAGACTTCTAAGGATAAGATTAGTATTCTTATAATATTGATAGATTTGATAGGATTTAATCATCTTTGTGTTGAGTTACTTACACCCCAGTCGACTGAAAATGCATGGTCTGTCATCAGGAGAACTAGCCTATATTATAAATCCTCCAATCAAATGTCGGGAAAGTCCAGAGATTTAAATATTTCAACATAAGACACCGTCTCCCAAAAGTAAACGGTATGTAATTGTTGCGACAAACCGGTTTGCAATTTGAGCTCGTTAATAATACTTTTTATTTTTTATTTTGCAGGACGTTTGTAGAAACATTACTTGTGTCGCGGGATCAATTTACATCGAGGGGGCATGTCAACGACAATATGTGACAGAGAGACACAAGTCGTATGACGTGTATCTACGGTTGGCCCCAACAACGGAGCAGCGTGTCTGCGTGAACATGTCGGGGCACTTTACTACGCAGCTGAAAACGTCATTTTTCACAATGTTTGCAACTACTTCCAGAGTCAGGACCGACATCTGTTCGTTCGTAGCATTATTCTACCCAGGGAAGAACCAGTGCGATCATAATTTATTGTCAGTAGAGTACGTGTTGTTCCACGTAGGAATATACTCGACTCTCGTCCATTCTGTTGACCAATATTTGACAGAGTTATCGTCACTGGACAGTAGACTGATCGTCGTGGGTTCCCATAGTTTCAGAATAACACTCGATTCTGGGTATTATGGGGAAATTGTTTTTGATTCCTTCGCCAGCACGCGGCGTTACACGGACCCCGATACAAAGGAAGAGCTCCGGGAACTTCCCTCTTTTCCTGTTGTAGTTCAAAACTGTTTTTCTCCTATTCGACACATGCACGTGACTAGAATGTCGTACTGTCGACGTGTTTTTCTCTCAGCAGATGAATACAGCGTAAATTTCCATCAGGAGCCGGTATGTTTGGAGATAATCGAGCTATGTCTTACTAACGGGACATATGAACAGATACGAGACGGATTAGAAATGTGTGCAAATGCTTATTTTGCGCATGTTCAAAACCTGACATGGAGTAACACATCGACTAACACGTGTAAAGATATCGCAGCATTAGATGGTTTCGGTCTAGTTTCGGTTATTTGTGCAATCGTATCGATGTTCTGTTTACTATTGACAGTTTTGACTTACTTTTTGTTTAAGTCTTTGCGAACCACACCAGGTAAAAACAACATGTTTTTATCGATAAATCTCCTGATAGCTCAGGCTTTGTTCCAGTTTGGTGCCGGCCAGAGGGCATTGGGCTTGGGTTGTGTTGTAGTCGGCGCACTGATACACTATTTCTGGCTGTCTGCCGTCGTCTGGATGAATATATGTTCCTTTCACATGTTTAGGGTGTTCTCAAGCCTGAAAGCCAAGACAATGAGTTCACAAAGAGACGAAAAAAGGGACATGGTAACATACATAATATACTCCGTTTTAGCTCCCCTGGTAATCGTGGGTTTGAACATCCTGGTCAACTTAGTGACGTCAGAATGGTCACACGTCGGCTACGGAGGATGTGTTTGTTATATATCATCAAGCCATATGATCATGTTTACATTTGCCATCCCGATTGCTTTTCTTCTTTCTCTTAACTTGATCTTTTTCGTAATCGTTATAATTTCTATTCGGAGAACGCAACATTCAAAACTTTCATCTAACCAAGATCAGATAACGATCGTGGTGTATCTGAAGCTTTCCTGTTTAACCGGCGCCTCTTGGATATTCGGCTTCCTCTACATGTTGATAAATCTTGATGTTTTGGGTTACATATTCATTGTTCTGACCGCCGGAGAGGGAATCTTTATCTTTTTGTCTTTTATTTGTTCCAAAAGAGTTCTAAAGCTTTACAGGGGATTGTTGGGGTATTCCGGTCCCAGCGAAAGTGAACATTCTTCAAGGACAACTATGTCAAGCGTGTCAAATGTGGGGACGAAACAAAATGTTCAAAACAATTGTCAGCAAAGCATAACTAGAATGTGATTGATTGTATTGCAATGAACTCCCAGGGGAAAACATTGACAATGTGTGATGAATTTATTTGAGTGTGTTTAGGATACAAATGTATTAACTTTCTTGCATGATACACCACAGATGTACGAGCTGTGAGCATTGTAATGCCACCGACAAATAATCTGTGAACATGGAAACACCCAGATGTATGAGCTGTGAACATAGTAACGCAACAGACGCACGAGTTGTGAGCCTGGTAACGTCACAGATGTATGAGCTGTGAGCCTGGTAACGTCACAGATGTAAGAGTTGTATGCCTGGTAACGCCACAGATGTATGAGCTGTGTGCCTGGTAACGTCACAGACGTATGAGTTGTATGCCTGGTAACGCGACAGATGTATGAGCTGTGTGCCTGGTAACATCACAGAAGTATGAGTTATGAACATGGTAACGCCACATATGTATGAGCTGTGTGCCTGGTAACGCAACAGATGTATGAGCTGTGAGCATGGTAACGCCACAGACTTATGAGCTGTGTGCCTGTTAACGCTAAAGATGTACAAGCTGTGAGCCTGATAACGCCACTGATACATGAGCTGTGAGCCTGGTAACGCCACAGATGTATGAGTTGTATGCCTGGGAACGTCACAGATGTAAGAGTTGTATGCCTGGTAACGCCACAGATGTATGAGCTGTGTGCCTGTTAACGTCACAGATGTAAGAGTTGTATGCCTGGTAACGCCACAGATGTATGAGCTGTGTGGCTGGTAACATCACAGAAGTATGAGTTATGAACATGGTAACGCCACATATGTATGAGCTGTGAGCATGGTAACGCCACAGATGTATGAGCTGTGAGCCTGGTAACGTCACAGATGTAAGAGTTGTATGCCTGGTAACGCCACAGATGTATGAGCTGTGTGCCTGGTAACGTCACAGACTAAAGAGCTGTTTGCCTGTTAACGCTAAAGATGTACGAGCTGTGAGCATGGTAACACTACAGATGTATGAGTTGTATGCCTTGTAATGCCGTAGATGTATGAGTTGTTTGCCTTGTAATGCCGTAGATGTATGAGTTGTTTGCCTTGTAATGCCGTAGATGTATGAGTTGTGTGCCTTGTAACGCCGCAGATGTAGGAACTATAAGCATGGAAACGCCACAGATACATGAGCTGTGAGTATGGTAACGCCACAGATGTACGAGCTGTGAGTATGGTAACGCAACAGATGTACGAGCTGTTATCATGGTAACGCCACAGATGTACGAACTGTTATCATGGTAACGCCACAGATGTACGAGCTGTTATCATGGTAACGCCACAGATGTATGTGGTGCGAGCAGTGAGCATGGTAAAGCCACCGATGGTGCTGACTCAATTTTGCAATATCGAAAATCAAAGACTTGATAGCGGTCATTGAATAACTATAGTAGTATTAACCGTGCGAATTCGTAGAAATACGTAAACAAAGAAGTATTCAACCTATCATAACAGTTTCCAGCAAATTCTGTATAAGTTGTTTTGTTTGAACTATCAGTTCCTGTAAATAGTCTGAGTTATAGCTGGATAGAACGTGGCGCACCGGCATCGTCATCGACATCGTCCTATTAGCGGGGGGAAAGCTTTCATATTTGACAAAGTATTCAGAAAAACACATTCTCACTTATTCTAACTCGGTATGGTCAATGATCCTGTTATTGTGTGAGATGGGCGATATTGTAAGCAGGTTTGTTTTGAAGTCGCAGTCCACTGTACAATAAGGTGGTCAGGGCAATCGCAAGGGTACACTGTATGTATATAATATATAGTTATCCCCCTTGGGACGTCACTGGTAGATTTCGCATATACAAATTCTGAGGCTTATTTTGAAAAATACGTCTCAATATATGTGTAGTTATTATCTATAAATAAAGATGATTTTTTAATAACTAACGTTATTTGGTATATCATTATAATGTAGCTAATTTCTAGGCCACTTTTACAATATAACTTGAGTACAATGTGGGGGTACTCGTGATGGTAGTTATAAATGAGGGATAAACTCAATGGTTAACTTTCTGTCTCAGGATAATATTCCAATGGGTAAATCGAACGAAGTAATTACAAAATTGAGAGATTCTTCAATAAAACCATGTTGTAATTGTATATTATTTCAACATACAAAATATCTGACGACTCGCTCAGTATGCCACAAGCAGATTTTGTTTTGTAACTATTTTTGTTTTTGTTTTTTTATTTATCTTTTTGAAAATTCGGTGCATTCACCAGCGTATAGACGGCTATGCGTCTGGTTATTAAAGCTGTGATATAATTATTATAATTTGTGATGTGATGTGTGTGTGATATTTGATGTGCTATGTGAAGAGTTATTTTTTATGATTTTTAATGTGTTGTTTGTCTGATATTTAGTGTGATGTATGTATGGTAGGCTATGGGTTTTAATGTGTTTTGTGTGATATTTAATGTGTTTTGTGTGATATTAAATTCCTGTGTGCATGGTATTTCATATTATATGCCATATGCTTTTATTCAGAATGAGGAAACATGTGGCATGCCATAAATGCGACCACGGAATTAGATTATTTAATGATACTACATACAGGTGACAGTTAAAACATCTCCGTCACGATCATCCTCGATACTCCGGGCGTTATGCACCCCTTGAATATGTCATAGCTAAATTGAAGGCTCAGTTTGCACGACCTTGTGGATGAGACGAGAAGACTAGCTTGACCCTTTGATGTATATCAAAATAATCTCGCGGTCGCGTAACGGTAAATAGACTGGCTTTGAAATCGGGTGTCGCTCCTCTCTTGTCTTCCAAGGACAGGTATAAGCCTAGTGATTGGTCAGATTTTTGTTTACCTGAGACCAATCAAATAGCTAGCCGCGTGTGTTACGGCACGATTTCTCACCCATACAGGTGAAATTGCTAAAATTGCTGAGTTCGCAACACGATTTCTCACCTCTGCACGATTTCTCACCCGCCGGGTGAGAAATCGAGTTAGGAGTAGGCATATTGTCCGTTGCCATGAGTACGAACACTGAAATTGATTTTGGGAGATTGTGGTATATTTAGACTTGTTTAATGCTACACAAACACCAACACACCTTGAACGGGGAGGGTCAACGGCACCAATTTGTAGTAGGACGAGGTTTGTAGGCAGTGGATCAAGCTCACAGGACTTCGATTGCAAGGTCATGATGATATTGCGCAATTCGTCCACGGTTGTTGGTGAGAGCTTTGTGAATGGTTCCCCATCAAATTTAATGTCAGCAATCATNATGATGATACTCGATATTAAGTTTCCGAACAGATCTAAATCATGGCCTATCATTTGCTGAGTCATTTCAGGCTATAATACTTTCTGATCTGATTTATGGACCACAATGAAAGTTGTTTAGTTGAATATTATAATCGCGTTCTTGAAGATGGGGGAAAATGCCAACATCTTCCGAAAAATGGCTGCTACAGACTGGCTTCTGATTAGTCGCAATGTATGCATTGTCCAATACCCCTATGTAAAAGTGTGCAGTGTCACTACGAACACTACTGCGATCTGCGTTGATTTTGTTTATTTGACAATGTGTCCGTATTAGGTCGGGTCCTGATTGGTCGACATTTAGATATTAATCTATGTTGTAGATTTGGTATGTAAATGTATTATGTAGGGTTGTCAACGGTTAGCCGGTTAACCGGTTGCTCGGGCGAAAGACCACGAACCGGTTACCAAAATCCTTAACCGAAAAGTCGGATATTTACTTACAATTTGTACCCCTTTTGGAGCCCCATGATTCCCTGACTTAGACCTACAAACTATCTGCATTTGTATAGATGCGACCAAAATTAGAAAGTTTTGTAATAAAAACAGTGTTCAGGGATTACATGTTAGTGCTAATTTTGTACTCTTTTGTAAATACTGATAAAGAGATGTCGCCAACTCCATACAAAATCTGAACAGATTTTAAAAGGAAGCCAGAATACAAAGTTCTGAAATATCAACTTTCTGAGATAGAACGCGCCTTTACATGCGAGATGTAAAGATAATCTGAAGAGTACACACTTGAATGAGCAAGCATGTCTTAAAACGTTTGTCAAGCAAATTTTATTCTAAAGAACAATATTACCGCATATGATTTCGAGTACATAACACTGTAATTGAATCCGTCTTACTGCATTCCGACATTCGTTTTCCATGACATATAATTACTGAGGTTACATGCAACTTTTTCCTGTGTAAATCTTGAAATACACGAATAAACTATCATGTTGATTAATATATACATGTACGTTTGCGGTGTAAATACGTTTTAGATAGAACATTTTCCAAGCATATAATGTTTTTGTTGCTGTTTATTCTTTGACTATTAATCGGGTACTCGATCGGTAGAAGAGTAACCGGTTACAAAAGTAAGACTGGTTTGACAACCCTAGTATTATGGCATTGCGATCATTTTCTGATGCATCACTTGCGACTACTTTGTTAGCTTCGGCACCTTATGGTGTAACGGTTCCTGTTAGATATTGTAATACTTTATAATAATTTAATCTTGCTTGTAACAAACCTTTTCATTGGCCTAAAAAAATATGTTATCATCCCATAACATAAAAAATGACGTCGCCGTTTGTAACGTCGCTTTTGATTGACTGATACAGCGGCGTAATAATTTCTAACAGAAAAGAGTCCATCAATAAAAGTTGATTTTCACAGGGATTGTGTATAGTAGATTAAGTTATAAGGATTAACATGAATATATTTTTTATGTTATGGAACTATAACACAAAAAAACGGAGTGTACTCTCATCATAAACCATTTCGCGGTTTAATATAAACTGTATTTCATTCCAAATTAAGTTGCATTACATCACATAACATACAAAGTACAGAGGAATGGGATCCGGAAACAAGTTGAAATAACTTCGCGGTTTATTTAGAGTACACTCCGTTTTTTTGTGTTATATCTCCATAACATAAAAAACATATTCAAGTTAATCCTTAAATAAAAATAGGAAATGTATGTACCCTTCC